AAATGATGGACCCAAAATGCTTTCTTGTCAATTGCCACTAAGTACTGGAACCTAATGAACATTGTCAAATTCACTTTTGAATCCCACGCTCTTAACTTTTCTATTTTAAAACTGAACCCAGTCAAAGAACTTTCTAATGTCCAACACACCTGCTTTGGAATGCAATGAATGCAAGTCTCCACCTAAACCTGTTCCCATTTCTCAGTTTTGTAACTATGTATTCCTTTTTGAAGTTTAACTTGTCAGTTAAAATACCTTTGTAAGCCTGAGAATATTCTTCTTATATAGAGAGCTAACCACTTGCTTCACCAGACCAACGTTGTTGTCCTAGAGTACATAATAAATTAACTTTTGTCAAAAGGGGTATCTACCGTTATTCACAACTGGCTAAGTAGAATACTACAGACTATTCTTAAACACAGTTCAATAACAAAGAACAAAGAGTCTGTTGAGATCTGCTTCACTCCACCAAAAAAATCAACCAAAGAAATTCTCATATGAATCAGAACCATCTGGACAATACAATCAATTCATATATGATCTCCAATATAAGGTTGGACTATTTAAAAAAATTAGGGAAAACCCTCCATATGTAGCCAATTCATTTTATTTTTTACCTTTTTTCAATTTTGTTTCTTGGCTCATCTAATTTCTAACTACCTTCAAAAGCCCAAATTTGCATTTACATTTGGAAGTACAGAACTTCCTTCCTAAAAAGTTAAGAACAAACATTAGAGAAAATTATGTAAAGGGATTATGGATACCAAAAGTGTTCTGTACAGCAGAAATAATTTATTGGCTGACAGATAACACTTAACTACTCATTCCACATTTTACTTACTGTTCTGAATGTTTCCTCATTCTTTGTAGCTACTGTTCGAACCTCATTAGGAGTGTTTGAAGAGTAACTTGATGCAAGTTCATGATATGAAGCACTCAGAGGCTGTGATATAAGGAAATAACATAAAATACATCTATTTTAAATAAAAAGTACAATGTCTTCTATAAAAGTAAACTGAACAGGTGATGATATTGTTGAAAGGCTGCGCATAATCAAACATACACAAATGATTCTTTAAATCATCCATTGTTTTTTTGTTTCAGAGATTTATTCAATCATTGTTTTGTAATAACAAATATGGTGCATACCACAGTGCTGAAAAGAAAATTTGCTCATTTAAAACTTTCACCTATTTTCTTAGATAACCAATAAATAAAGTTTGCCTTTTTGGAAGAAGTGATAAAAGGCCTTTCTTGTTTGTTCGTTTCCCATTCTCTCAAGTTCACCTCTTTGCATAAAAATATGTCACACTACACTGTATTACATAGTTCACTGTGAAAAAACTAAACAGGTTTTAAACCAATGCATCACACATTTGCATGGACCAATATCATCTTCAAGAGGGCAGTATGAGTCCCAGTTATATTATGCATTTGTGTCAATGAGAAGTGTTTAAATTCATTCTTACCTTAAGAAATCTCATTACCACATGTGAAGTGTATTTTGGAAGGTCCATAATCTGTTGAGTAAGTCAAACTGTTGGTTAGCTACATTTTCCTTGAAAGTTCAACACAAAAATAAAAGCTTTAGTAATTATTCATAGCAGTATCAGGAAGTTTCAACCCATTGCAAATTCTTCTCTACTACTAGTTTGCCTCATATTGACACATTTATCCCATCAGCTACAGCAAGGTTACTTCCACCTTCACAAATTTGTCTTGGAATCTTTCAACTAATTTCCTCAGAGGCAGAATGTGTTACCTTTTAGATGAATTGCACATGTTTGGAAATTTACTAAGACCATTATTATTCCCCTCTTCTCTTAACCCTTTAAACCCTAAGAGTGACCCACATCTAATTTCTCCCTAAATTAATACTGCTGAATCATTCATTAGGATCATGAGAATAAAATAAATCATCACCAACTAAAGAAGCTCTAGATTGTTGAACAAAGTCTCCTTGTCAGAACCTCAGGAAATGTATAGCGAACAGTATGGAGAATATACATACTGATTTTAGGCTGTAAAGGGCTAAAAGAACACAATCTGGTAAAGGAGACTGTGGTGAAAATCTGTGGCAACTGATGGGGGAAATTGATCAGGGGAAATTGCAATGGGGCAAAACATCTGTGAACTAACAAAGCACAAACATTAGTGATATCAGTCTCACCTTTCCATGAAGAATGAGAGAAACTAGGATGAACTTTTTGTATGATTCCAACATTATATGACTAACATCAACAGCTGGACAGGTGACTGCCTGAAGAACATAAAATGTAAGTTAAGAGTTAGGAAATTATTGATTTGGAAAACAGACCTCTGGCAATTCAATCTGCCACCTAATTTGACATGTGTGACAACCATTCAGTATATTTCTTAAGTTTATAAAGTCACAAAGAGGCTTTCTAACATTTCTAACATATAAAATGATATTTAGTTTATTGTTCTTTCTAAAGGCTTATTTTTTGGTTATTTACCTCCTGATAAGGAACATTACTTTCCTATTACACAAGCAAGTGTTACTACATTTTAATACTTAAAGAAAGCAATTATTATGGATACCTTAAATTAATCAAGTAAAATTTTATTTGAGGTACCAAAAGTCTAAGGGGATCTCAGTACAACAGATACAAAATGAACAACATAAAAAAATAATACTTTACATGCACAAATCACCATCTACGGAAATGGGATAGAGATATAGAAATACCTTGTCTACAAGATTAAAACATAATTTTCTATCTCATTAAACATGTTCACAGCATTTAAGATTACTCACCACTTCATAAAAGTACAAAGCTTTTTCAAATTTTTTCAGAGCTGTGTAAATCATTCCACCATAATAACAATAACTGAGTAATGCCTTTGCATCATACTTCCCACCCTGCAGTGAAGAACAAAACACACACAGAAAACTATGTACCCATTTGTTAACTGTGAATCATGAAAGAGGGGTTCTATTGCCTAAAAGCCTTGAAGTCACTTTAAATTGCACTTGTAGGTTCATCGGATCAATATCAGTATCTAAGCAACTGCCCACCTACTCCTCCCCTAACCCAAAAACAGTCAATTGATAACAAGTTAGGGTTAATGTTGGGTTAGGGAAGGGGTAGGTGGGAAGTTGCCCAGATATTGATATTGATCTGGTTCATCAACAGCATTAGCTAGAATAAACTCGAACTCAAACATAAAATATTTAACCCTTTCACTCCCTAGATTCCATTGTCAACTCTCATTGCTGTCTGCTATACAGTTCTCTTTTTGTTAGTTTTTGAGAATTTGGTATTGGATCAACCAGTCATCTCCTAATTGATGTTTTTCTTTATTCTCATCATGTGTCTGCTTGATATTGAATTGATATCGTAACGAGAAATTCTCTCTTGATCACTCATGGACATAATGGTCTACCTCTTTGTGAATGTCTGTTATATCTGTATCCAGAAAGGGGAGGGCTGGCTTTAAACACTTGGCAAGTAAACAAAGCTGTCAAGAGAACAAAAGAAATAATATCTGATTTCTGATGTTTGATACAATCATGACAGTCTAAGTGCAACATGAAAACATGATCAAAACAGGGTTGCAAAATAGAGCTTTAACCTGCCGTAAAGTGAACATTTTTTCAACAAGAAATCTCACCTGTGCAAGATCTGAATGAATTGAAGTCAGTTGTGTAGGGGACTGCTGTGCCTTTTTTATTGCAATACACATCATTCTTATCCCTCTCATTGGCTGAAACAAAACAATGGTAAGCAATTTGTCCCTATACTATTAATAACATTAGGTTCTTTTCATCCCTTTTTAAGCTAACCACCTAGATAATAATAATAAAAAAAATATCTGAAAACCCACCTTCTTAAGTGAGTCTATTTTAAAAAGTTCATTCGGGGAAAAATGTTCCTGTCTGAATGAAGAACTCCTCAGGCCATCGATTTAGCCTAATTATATTCCTTGGGTAATCTCTAATGCATAGTAAAGAGCTTTAAAATAATATCTTACCTGCTTGAGATCCACTAAGCAATGCGTTATGAAATGACACAGGTGAGCAACTGTAAACCACAAATATGAAAATGTTATTGGAAAAAAACAAACAAACAAACAAAACGACCCAGACTGAATAGTTTGACAACGACTTACACTTATCCCCAGCAAATTGGATTTGTTCCTTTGAGCAAATTGTTATGAACTGCTGAATCTGACTGAATAACAACTCAAAGTCTCCATAATTTGGTAAGGATAGTTTCACCAACCTAAGCAATAATCAGGACAAAAAAAGAACAAGCAGTTAAAACAGAAAATAAAAACGGAAGCCGATCATTATGACAGAAAAACAAACAGGAACATTGAACGAGATACTCACAATAGAGCCATGAATGCCAATGAATGCTGATCAGGATCAAGTGATGCAATCGCAGCATCAATCTGGCCTGCATACTTGGCTAATAAATCATTAGATCTGTTTAAATAATCTGCAAGTTGGACGTAATCTTTATCGGCAGAAATGGATCGTACCGTGGCTAAGAAATCCTCCATCTTCACTGTGGCACTTGCAGTCGCCTTAGTCTTCCTCGGCTAATCAAATCGAGGCTGGTGTAAGGTGCGCTTTCACACGAAATGGCGGGAGAGTCAAGCCAGGCTAAGTGACTCAGCCAAGTGACTGACTAGAAAATGCCGTTACAGCCTTTTAATTTTGACAAAAAACCAGACATTCGACTCGTAGTATACCAAAATATAGTCTATAAGATTAAGGTGACTTGTAGACAATCTTCTGACAGGTAATTTTACGCGATTGGTTTTCACATGTTTGATGTCGCTGCTATGTACATGTTGTTATTGCTGTTATTTTTCTCCAATAAATTACCAAAGCGTCTCTATTTTTAAATTCCCAAACAGAGAGAGTATTCGACGGTTGTTTTTAGAAGACAAAAACAATAAAGATCTAGAGGTGAGTTCATTTTGGTCGGACCTACGTCAGAGTCCATTTAAATTTGAAAAACCTCTTGGAATCCTTACTACAGACTGTCTGATTTCAAGTAATCATTATGCGTAATTTTAACTCCTTCTCCTCAGAGAGTTGTTTGTGCCATATTGAACACATACGATCTTATACCAGTGCAAACAGATAATTTTGTCGTCTATCCATGTATCCTTTCAACAGTAAATACACTGCATTAGCAATCAGTAATTATTAATTTTTAACACAGTAACCCACAAGTGATTAACATCCGACCTCTCCCTGCAATATCTATACATTGCCCAGCAAGCAGGTAATGAAAATACTCAAACATATCAAGAGGAAGTTGTTGTCTTGATCCAACACCAAATTCTTGTAACCAATTTAAAAGGAAATATGTTGTAGCTGGAGGGGAGAATTGACTTTTAGATCTTGGAGGTTAAAGGGTTAATTGCTACAAAACTAAACATATAACATTTCGTAAGTCTGAGAGAGAGAACCCAGGAAGAAGATAGCAATAAGGGATTAAGATGTGCCCCTAGGAAGAGGCTTAAAATAACACTGTCTTTTACCATTTTTTTTTTTTACGGATTTTATTTAATAATGACAAACAGAAGCCTTTGTCATGATCATATTTGATGCTGAAAATGTCCACCTACTCAATTAATGCAATTAAATTGAACTGACAATTTACAATTGCTGATGGGAATATTATATTGTGGGTAGTATTAATGGATGTTATGGAAAGATTTATGTCCAATCTGATACTATTCTAAAACAAAGCCTAAGTCCTAAAGATAATTTATTGTTTTCAAATCATTTGAATTTATCAAAGAACTGTATGCAAAAAGAAAATATGGGCTTACATAGAAATCTTGCCATTGTTTTTCAAAGATGAAATAATAGTAGGGGACAATTGTGAAGAGTCATTGTCATGTCCTTTTCCGATGAAACATTTGTTGCAAAACCAACTTAACCCAAAGCTTATAGATAAAAACTACTGGGAAACAAGAGAAAGACTGGTATTTTCTCAGCATGGCCATTTCCTAGAGGCTCATAAGTATTCCCTTACATTTTATGTGGAAGAGAAACAAAAAAACCAGGGACAAATTGTACAGACAGGTATACTAAACCAATTGGATGTGATCAATTCTTTAAATATATTTATGGTATTAATAATAATATATAAGTTCTTATTGAGGGCACATTTGACCTCAATGCAGTTGCCACAAATATAAATTATAGAATAAATAAGAAAATCTTTAGTCCTAGCTGACATGTTAAAGGCAGTTTTGAACATTATAAATATTTGGAAAATATTAAGAGTAAAGACTAATGTAAATATTTCTTGAGTAAAAATGTGTTAAGTTTTGTTTTAAATGTAGCAACTCTCTTTGGATTTTTAATATTCTTTTATGGTGTTGGATAACTGAGGTGCACCTTATGTTCAAGATTTCATGGCTGAGGTGCATCATAGTGAACAGGATGAAGATTGGAGAGTCCTATATAAATATCATATTCTTGTGTGTCTGTGATTGTTGTCTTTTAGACAGAGCTCAAGAACAGGAAGAGCATGTCAATCAGACTTCAGTAGTAAGTGCATTGTACATGCATAACTTAACCCTTAGATCCCTAAGAGTGACTGGCATCTAATTTCTCCTCACAATATTACCCTTGAATCAAACACTAAGGTACCATTAAAAATGAAAATGATCACTAATCTAAGAAGCTCTTTATTGTTGAACAAATTCTCCTGGATAGTCTTGACAGAAATGCTCAGGGAATAGTATGGAGAATATGCATACTGATGTTAAGGTGTAAAGGGTTAAAGCTTTTGGAGGAATAAGACTAAAAAATTTTTCAATTTTTTTTTGTCATATTTTAAATTTTTTTATGTTTGCCATTAGTTAGCTTAGAGGTTTTTTACAGGGACTTGTTCATGACAATTACCTATGTATTCAAACCAGATGTTTTCATTATTTTTACAGCCAAGTGGTAGCAAAGAGAGAATTGGTATGTAACTTCAGGATTTTTGATATCTCGCATTTTCTGGTTATTCTTAGTATTGAGAATCTTAGACAAAAGATAAAGAGAAGTTTGAACTCATTTTTGTCAGAGGTTTGGAAAAACACTCGTGAGAACTCTGACCTGTGACCTCTCAAGCCTGTTATCTTAAGACAATTGGTGAAAGCTATGGAACCACAAAGGAAAAGGCAACAAAGCTATATTCTTTACTGTACATCTGACTCATCAGGACTTCTTTGTTGTTTCTCTTCTTCCAGATCAGTCTATCTTTCTATTTGTGCAGCTTATAGAGTAAACACTAGTAGTAAATTTCACCTTGTGAATTACACAATGCATCTAGACAAACTTTGTGGAAAATTTCCAGGCATCCAGTGATTTCACAGGCATCACCTGAAGGCTTTTTAATTTCAGTCACTGAGTATGGACAGAAAAACCGTCATGATGTTGAAGAGAAGGAACTGAAGGAGTTTCTCAGACTTCAAAATTTGGCAAGTAAAGATGATAAGCAAACTGAAGGTATGTTACATAAACTGAACATTTTAAAGAAAAAAAGATTTAAATAACTTAGGCATCTTGCAATTAACAGAATTGTCAGCTAAATCACTCATTTTCTTTCTTAAATAAATGTTAAGTTTGGAAAATATAAGAAGCCAAATTTTCCATTGTGGTTAAAAATAGAGTTGAATTTTTCATATATTTTTAGAGATAAGATCCAGGGTTGTTTTTATTCAGTTGTAAACTGGTGAATCCATCTAGCCAGTGCAACAAATGGTAAGCTGCATCCCTCTTCTCTCCAATGTTATTTAGATTATTAATTTGAAACATACTATGCAAACAACCTATGTAAAAAATTTCATTCCTTTGACAGATAGTGAGCAGCCCACTTCAGGACTTCAAAAAGTATTCAAGTACAAAAATCTGATTGTATTTCCCCTCTCTTTAATTTTACTTAAGATGTTGTAGTAGTAAACTTAGTTGTCTCTCCAGAACAGAAAAAAGACTTCTTCATCACTTATGTGAGTTTGTTCTGGGTTTCCTTACATCATGGAAAATCTGGAAAGTTATGGACAGTCATGGAGTACATGCAAAATTATATTTCTGAGAAAAACAAAATTAAGAAAGGCCATGGTTAAATGATAATTTTTATATAGTTTTGAAACAATTTCAGTCCAAGAATATTTTTGTGGAAATTATTGGAATGTTATAACCTTGAATAAGTAAAAACCTTCCTTCTGTCTTTCTGTAACTTATGTTTAATTCCCCCACAACAGAAAAATCAGCCATTCTTTCATTGATATTAATATCTTTAAGCCCTAAGGGTTGCTTTGAGTATGCTTATCATATTGAAGTTTACCATTTGTATTTCAGTGCCTTGGTGTCTCCAGTACGGTCATTACTAGGAAATTAAAATATCTGTTTACTGACAACATCATCAGATTCATGAGGAAGAAAATCATCTTTTTGGTCTGTACAGAGGAAAAGAATCCAGCAAAAACAAAAACTAACCAATTTAAAAAACAAAGCTGAGTTGATATTTTACATTGTATCTAATATTGTCAAATTTATCACTAAAGTAAAGTTTTATCAATATTTTACACTGCATACAAAAGACTTTTGAACTTAACTTATTATTGTATTTGTAAATATTTGATATGGAGTTATGTAATTTTTGCAATGCAGTTCATTAATAAAATTAAGAAGTCTGTATGGAGAGATAACTGATAAGCTCATGACGTTGGTGACTTTGTTAGTTTTCTTTGATCTTTGCTAATAACAGCTTTGCAGATCCAGGGGGACTGAGGTGTGGTCAAACCCCTCAAAGAGGGGTCCATGCTAATGGATGGCATCATGTGACATCTCAGAGAGTGGCCCCAAAGAATGGTTCAATTAACACTTCTTAAAAAACTCATCTGATTTCCTGTGTTCAATTTATCCAACCATGGTCATTGTGGTCTCTCATTCGTATACCTGATAAACTAATAAGTAAGTAATGCCCTTCAGCGCTACCCTCTGCATGCAAAAACAGCTACCAGACTTAAAAATGTCTGTGCTAAATACCAAAAGTTTCTTGTTCAAGACAATTGAAGAGGAGAGGAATCTTCATGAAAGAGTTAGTTATCACTCTCTTCCTTGTCTCCCTCATTCTTTTCCATTGTAGTTGGCTTTTCTTTCCTGAAACAAAAACATACAAAGATGTTGAGTATTTGTTATGAGTGGTGAAAAGTTTCACCTGTAAAGCGCAGTGGTCAAATATGTATGAAATATCTAGCATACAGAAGCAACTCTGAACCATTGTCAATTAAGATTAGTTAACAAACCATTACAATATTTCCTAATTGCATAGTAGACCATTAGATAAAGTATCAAACGTCTTCCAAAAATTTCACGGATAAAAAGAAATACATCACTACTCAGTAACATGAACAAGGCCAGTTAGGTAGTGGTATTTATGTATAATCACTGAAAAGATGTTTAATTAACTCAATTTCTCAAAATCAAAGTTGAAGTTATCTCCCATCAGCATAAACGGAGCCCATTGGAAGGTGTTAGTAAAGCCGTTGTTTCTCAGTCACTTCCTG